CGCAGCAAAGGTGCCAGCGGCATCGTCGGCAGCGGCGACCTCTCCGAAACCACTAAAGACTCTCAGCAGTTCCTCTCGCATAGTACCCAGGGAGCCTCAGGGGTGTGTTTTCCCGTCTTTTTGATACTTTGGGTTTCTTAAACTGGCGGCCAGAGTTTATAGAGCGAAAATGTAGGTGTGACGGAAGGTAGGATGGGTTTAATGTTGCGTCTGGTTTCATCTATAGTACAGCTGAGTGAGTCTTCCATGTGCTACGTGTTTGGAATGAGGTTGCTTTTCCGCTAAAATTCCTCGTTCATACATCTGAGGTGTCTATGGTTTATTGTGGCACCCAAAATGTCGTCTTTTTGGAGGTTTGCGAGTACAGTGGAATCTCGGTTAACGAGTTTAATCCGTTCCGGCACCGAGCCCGTCATGTAAAACATCCGTCTTGCAAAACGTAGTTATTCAAACTGCATCAGTTCACTCATTGGCTGCAGGTGACTGAGGACCCACGCCCTCCGAGCAAGCCTCAACGGCGGACGCGGGCACACACACACGCGCTGACAGCTCGTTAACTAAGCGGAAGATCGTCAATCAAAACAAATTTACTGCGATTAGCTCCTCGTTACCTGAAATACTCGTAGATGGAGCTGCTCGTTACCTGAGGCTCCACTGTACAGTAGGTGTTCTAACTCATTAAATCCAAGGATTTTTAGAAGAAACTCCCTGTTACGCAAACGCAGCACAAGCTGCGGCCCCAAAAGTCTTACAACAATGAAGTAATGGTCTTTCTTCAAGATATTGCGATCTATCAAGTAATTTTACGTTGTTTAGAAATACCAGCTTTTTAGCAATAGTTCCGAATAGATACTCCCGGCCTGATTTGGGGGCTTGGGGTAAACGGTCCGACTCTTTACTGTGGCAAACTTCTTGCTCGCCCACTTTTCCTCATTCTTCATACTCTGTGTTTAGAAAACGTATTGTAGACCAGACTATCATCAAGCCACATCTGTTAGTTTTCTGCAATACGCTCTTTAGCATCAAATTCATTTTAGGAGTTTTTAAGTGCTCAACTCAGTATGTTGATTTAGCCTTCTTCCGCAACATGTTTCACAATCTTCTTAACAAATGCATGGCACCTGTGGGTTCACGAATCACGTGCCCTTCGGAGGCCGCGTTTTAATTGAATGTGACTACCGTAGTTCGTGCTGGGCGTACTAACTCCTATGTACTGTCTTTATCAATAAAGCTCCACTAGGAGACCTTCCGAAAAGGAAATGAACGCAGTTGGCAGTGGTTCGTTTATGCATCGTAGAAATCAGAACTGTGACAGGGAGATCGCCGTCCGTTTCCTTTTGCTTGCAGTGTTAATGAAACCCGTAAATATGTCTTCATTAGAATAAGAGGATGTTGACCTCGTTCAGCCAAAAATATCGGCACGGCCGTGGTTGACGCCGAAGTTTCCAGCGTCTGGCAGTCAGGGTCCAATTTTTGTGCTAAACAAGATTATACGACTGCTGTTACAAGACTTTCACTGACC